ACAAAAATCATGAATGAATGTGTTTGATATATCAAAAGAGTTTATATTATAATTGAACGAATGTGTTTGATATATAAAAAGAGTTTATATTATAATTGAGTTTTTAGGCCATAAAATATTGTTAAATTAAATTTATAAAAGATTTATTCAAATAAACTAAAAAAAATTCCACAAGAGCCCCAAGATATTGTCTTAAAATTTCAATTTTGATACATTGTAATATTATTTTTTACAATGTGAATCGATCAAAAAATCATCTCAAATATAATTTTAAAATAAATATTTTAAAAATCAACAACCTTACGATTCATTTATGTATAAATCAGGGTAATTACCTAGAATGAAGTTGTTTTTAGAAATTACTGTTAAACAAACGCTTTTAGAATATCTTTCAATGAAAATATTTTTAGAAATTTTCTCTGACCTTTTGTTTCTCAATTTATCATTTTATTTTTAAATTAAATTTTAATATTTTTAAAATAAATTATCAAAAATCTATAATTTAAATAATTTTATATAACACAAAATAAATTATTTATATAAATCTAAAATTTCATTTTTGTGATAGAAATTATTATAAATTTTACTTATTTAATATAAATTTTATTATATATTTAAAACATTTATTTATTATAAATAAATATCATTATATATATATATATATATATTAAAATACTAGTATGTTATTTCATTGTAAAATTATATTATTAATAAAGGTTGGATAATATGATTATCATTATAATTTTAATGAATAAAAAAGTATATTATTAATGAGATACTATTATAAATTCATTATGTTTTCACTTTTATGTAGATATATTTGTTCCTCTTTAATAAATTTAAGTTAAATTTATTCACACCATAATTGAATTTAATCCCACTTTTGATAATTGTCTTACGATTTTTATGAATAAGTTGAGTTGTAATATCATTTATTATTTTTATTTTTAAATAAAATAAATGGAAAGCATAAAAAAAAAATTTTACTAGTAAATATAATTCTAATGTAGATGTTCAAAAGAAGATCTCATGTCATCAAGATCTCAATGGTCATTCATATCATTCTATTTGTCTAGGCATGGCAAGTATGCATGGTAATGGGAAGGTATCAGATAAGGATACTTGAGAAATACAAAGATGGTGAGTATGAAATTTATGTCATTATTTTCGTACTTATTGAATATCGAATATATTATCATATTCTTCTCATACCTATTCAAAACTTAATTAAATATTTTTTCTATAAAAATATAAATAATAAGAATTTCAACATAAAATAATACTTATAAAATCATGTTTCGAAATCATTTTGAATAATTAGATATTAATTTAAATTATAAAATATTAAATTAAATAATTATTTTATGATAAATTATTGAAAAATATTAATATTTTAGTGTTTCAGACGAAGATTTAAACGTGTATTCTGTAGCATTGCTCTTTTTCCATGGAAATGATGGGTTGTCGGAAAACATGTTCCAAAAAGAATAATTAAAATATTGATTTATATTATAAAATATTAAATTAAATAATTATTTTATAATAAATTTATTAAAAAATATTAATATTTTAATGTTTCGGACGACTATTCAAATACGGAGGTTGTAGCGTTGCTCTTTTCCCATTTCTCTCATGTTTTTCAACCACAAATTTTTTATTTAAAATTCTTTCGCTTATTAATTGTTTTTTTTAAATAAATCTATTCATTTTTTAATAAAATTTAAATTCTAAATTTGAATAGAACAATTTAAATTTCACCACATACAATATATTTATATATATATACGTTAAACTTTACAAAAATAATCATTAATCAATTCTTAAATACTTAATAATATGAAATTAATTTTAATATCAGATAATATTTAATAATTCAAAACCATGTAAACATTAATAAAGAAGAGTTAGGTAAAAGAAAAATAAGAGAGATAGAACACAGAGAGTAGAGAGAGGTTTACATAGCTAGGCATTTTGTAGTAAATAAGCTGTTACTGGATTTTCAAGTGATACAAAATCCATGTCAAAAAGAGAAATAAAATTGTTACTAAGAGTCTATAGGACCATACAAAACAATGAGATTTGCAGCTGGCTTCTCATATCGCATGAATTCTGATTGATTTAAAATGGGTAAAATTAGAGAGGGAATAAGAAATCAGATTTAAGTAATCAATTTACTTTCACAAAATACTAGAGCTCCAACTTCTTTTCAAAAACTTATTCAAACAAAATATTTAACAATAAAAAAAATTAAAATCACCTAAAATTAAATAAATTACACTCTTAAAATCCTTCAGCCAAACGCACTAGTAATTTATTTATTGCATATAATTGCATATTAACTATAATAATATCTCCTGAATAACATTAATACTTAAAAGTTGTTTCTACTAAAACATCTTTGCATAATTTTGTTTGTGATAATGCATGCGAGCATACTAAGTGTTTGGTATGTGGGAATCAAGAAAGCGGGACCGAAAATAAATTAGTTAGTTTAGTAAGAATGAAATAGAGAAAGAAGATAATAAATTGATTAATCCTGCGTTACTTAATAATACTTTGTCGTCGATCACCATGGAAATAGAAAAGAAATTCTTCTAGTGTGCTTCCAAGCCAAAAGCACCCTTGTCCTCAACTCAAAACACCCACATAAAGTGTTGTAATCGATTAAGTAATATTCTTAATGAATTAAATTCATTTTGAGCGAGCTCAAAAAGCACTCATAATCAACTTTAATCGATTGAAGTTCTTCATAACTTTATTTGATTAAAGTCCTTCACAATCGATTAAAATTGGTTGCCAAGACATATCATTTGTTTTTATACATCTCAATTGATTATGCATTTTCTTAGTTGACTAAATTATTTCTCAGGAACATTTTTCAACGTGTTAATTCATTTTACAAGATTACATTATTAATTTACTTTATATAATTGTTTTTCCTCATTTCAACAAAACCAAACAACTCCATTATAGGAGTATTATTTTGCTCTATTTCTCTCATTTCCTTTAAAGCAAATACACAAAGTGCAACAAATATTCAACCCTGCCTTTGGAAATTGGATCTATCACTTTGAGATTGATTGCTCACTAGTAGTATAGTGTCACGCAGTTTTGTTGCTCAATTCATCTCTGAAATCAGGTCATACAAAAACGGATTCTGATTCTTTAGCTTTGAAACATCAAAATTACGGTAACTTAATGCATTTACAATTAAACCATTAGATTTATAAAAATAAATCAGATTGTGATATGTGTAGAATATATATTTTGACTTAAATGTATACGTGTCACAATTTGATCTATTATTATAAATTCAACGGTTTAAATACATTAAATTACCATAATTTTTTCTCCATAAAGTCGGAAGATCCATTTCCTACAAAAACATAAACAAGAGGAGACAGAAAATCTTATTCACACATAAGATCCACAAAAGACGCTGTACCAACTGACAATCACCCCTCCACATCAAAAAAGAAAAAAGGAATGCTACTAGTCTACTAGTTTGAGCTTCCCACTCCCAAACAATACCCATGTGGTTCCCAATGTCTTCTAACTTAAATGTGAGAACTGAGAACAAATTCTATTAAACCTGCTTTACCATTTACTTAAGCCAACCCTCCCCCATCCAATATCAGGTCATAGATTTTCTTCCGAACAAATACCATTGTAAATACCAGAAACACGTGTCAACTGTCAACCCACCCATCACCAACCAATTATCAAAGGAGCACCAGGTAAAAACAACATTTTGTCCTTACGTAAAACAGTCGTTGAACCAACAACAAAAACTAGAAACAGTAAAAAATAAACTCCTATGTGTCAACAATATTTGAGAATAATGCACTAATTAATGAGCTGGTCACAACAGTCGGAACTCGGAAGAGTATTGTGCTTACGTAGAATAATTCTTCTCAAATCCCTAAAGACGGGTAGGGTAAAAGAGGGAAAGCCTGGGAGAATAGAATAACAAACATTCAATTGTTCACTTTTATTGAAATGAGATCCAGAGGCGTAACATGTGTTTGAACCTGTACGAGTAAGCAGTAAATTATTATTTGGCAATTTTTGACAGTAGAACGGTGTTACCAGAGTCCAACATTTAATCACCATTCATCAATCACTCACGAAATAATACTCCTACCAGACAGGAAAGGGAAATTCACAAACCTATTCAAAAATCAAATTCAATCATATAACTACATGGCTTCCTTAACTGACGTAATATAACTTGCTTTCCTTTCACATAAAATGGCTACATCAATTTTATATAACCTGTTACCCTCAAGTAGTTCAGAAAACTTGGATCAGGGGCTTGTATTGAAATGCCCAACCGCTGATACTTACAGTATGACTTTGATTTATGTAATTATTTGCCTCCATATTCTGCATCATTAACAATCGTGTATGACACAATATATAATCCCATCCATATATCCCTCAGACAATAACAAACACATTTTTAAGCATATTTATCAAAGACTTGTCACAGCAGTACATCACTAAACTGGCAGTTACTAAGTTAGCATACAGCCTGTAATAAGAGCCACTCCCCACGGATATATTAGATATCCTGAAGAATAAAATGGGCAAAAAAACTCAGCAACTGATACCATACTTCCTTAAGCCATGAAAAAAATTATCCATGTAGCCACTTTTGCTGCAAGGACAGAACAGAAAAGAACTGAGAAAATGTACAGTATAAAGTGCTAACAGAAATATAGTGATCCTGAACCATGCATCAAAGACTCTTCTTTTAAATATGTAATGCAATTTGAGGATTTTTTTCATTTTTATTACTTTTGTTGAGAGGTGGCAGGGATGAGAATTTGCAATTGGCAAGGCTTGTCAAGGAACTATAACATAGTATAATTATAAAAAAGAAAGCATAGGACAGCAAAAAAGTAGAATGGAAACGATGAGTTACTAGGGGAGAAAATAATAACTACACAGTGTTCAATTGGTAAGGACAAAACAGGGACCATACAACTTCCCAAAAAGGGATTACAGTTGTGGTTTACAGAATGCTTGATATATCAGAGAAGGGAAGGAATGCAACCAATGAATCAGAAGTGGAAGTGGAACAATCCCACTTCAGTGGGACCCAAAGATTTCAAAGCATCATGCCGCTGATAAAGGGAGCAGTTATTCTGACTTTACCATTCTGAGTTTATCACATACCAACAAGGCCAGACAGAGAGGGAACAAAACAGGAGAATTGTGGTGGAGACATAGTCAAGCAGTTTCAAGGATGACAGAGTAGTGTCTCAAACTGGAAATGAAGGCTAGGGACTTGCCTGAGACATCAGTGGTCAGGTGTCTGTGACTCTGTCGATCACTCAGAAAGGAGAGGAGAGGTTTATGCTCCTCCAGGTGCTAGAGCATGACCAGAAGGCAACTGGACAAGAGAGGCTCATGGCTGAGATATTCTGCTGAGACATATGTGCTGACAGATCACTGTCCTACAATTCCATTGATGGGGTTAGTGTGTCAATTGGAGACCAACCAAGAAGGTGGAGAACCAAAGACAAACCAATAGCAGATGAAAAGTGAACAAAGCCACTAATCTTGTGCAGTGCCAACTGGAAGCAGAGTCATAGATACATGGGACAAGAGTTCAGGAATTTTGGAAACTCAATACCAGAATAGTAATGATATTAAGCTATGAAGGGTGGTAATGCTTTAACACCTTATTGAAACAAAATGTGGTTAAGACTAGAGAGAAATCATGTGTAAAATGCATATACAAGCCACTAAGTACTAACACCCTTTTGTGCCTCTATCATGGTCATGTGACCCCTAAACACTTATGGTATGTTTGGATAGAAGTGATGGAAGGGAAAGGGTCAGGAGGTACAAATTCCATTCCTAATTACATAATAATCTCTCATTTTATTTAGAAAACCTCACATAAGGAGAATGTTTACTCAAATTGGAAAAAAGTTACCCTTCACTCCCTTCAGTTTCGGTTGAGATGAGAGGGTGGAAAATGACAGAGTGAAATGAGAAGGATAAAAAATACTTCATCAGTCCAAACAACTGAAAATAAATTAGCTTATTTCATTCCTTCCTTCAATCCATCAATCCAAACAACACATTTTCCACTTAAAGTCCCCTTCAATTTCTATCCTTTGTATTCTTTTTTTTTTATATTTATTTCCTCTCAATTTCATTTCCTATCCAAACGAAATGCAAGAGCTTTTACTTTTTAACATCATATATATATATATATATATATATATATATAGGAGGGTTCAAACGACACCGATATAACAAATAAAATAAGAAAACTAGAGAAGCAGGTCATTAATTTTGTTATCCAATCTTTAAATAATAAAACTAGACTTGATCGAAGAATGTCATAGCCACAGACACATGAAAATACGAAAACTCTTAAGTACAATGCAACTTAACAAATCTAGATTGTCAAATGAACTCCACTCTTCAAAGAAAAATTTGAAGACCACACTTCACTAACATATAACCTAATCAGAGTTTTAAACATTGATAGCAATTAAATAGCCACATCAACAGGAAACAAAGTTCACCAAACCCCAGAAATGGTGCAAAAGCATCAAATCTATTCCCCTTATCTCATCCTCAAACTCCCCCCTCACACGATCGATTAATCGTTCAAGCAGCAACACAACAACAAGGCATTATAACTACTTTCAACTTCAAAACAATCACGACCCAACAAAAGACACTGAAATTGAACCGCAAACACATTCCAATCCACCAATGCTAAAAACCCCATACAGAAACAAAGAGAACATAACAGAGAAAAAAGTTACCTTCACGCCACCCCAGCAATGCTCTTGAGCTTATCACAGTGAGGAGCAGGCAGGTTCCTATTCCAGCTCCGTCTCTGCATCTCCACCTGGCAATACCTCCGAAGCATGTTCCTATAATCCTTCACCACACTCTCCTCAACCGCCCTCCGAGCATCGCTCCCCGGCGGGTACCTGGCCTCAAACGCCGCCGATTTCACGAAGAACTGAACCCCGTGCTGCGCCGTGGTCTTGGGAACCTGGTAAGCATAATGCTTGTGCAGGGAATACTCCGGGTCGGAGAACGGCAAGTACGCAAGCAGCACAATGATCAAAAACGGCAAAAGCTGAATCAAAAGCATCACGTTGTGGTGCCTCCCACCCGATCCAGCGTTGACCTCGTGCCGCTGGTTGTGCTGGTTCCCCATTCCGCGGCCTCTGTAAACGTGGTTTCGCCCAAACACGTCGGAGTGGCCGAAGAACGCTCGGAAAATCTCGTCGGGGTCGAACTCTTCGTCGAAGAAATCCCGCGTCGTTGTCGTCGCCGTGGCTCTTCTTCTCCGGCGTCGGAAAGAGTTGACCTCGGAGTTGTCGAATTCGTGGAGCGTGCCGGTCTGGTCGTAGATCCTTCTAGAACCATCGTCGCTCAAGCACTTGAAAGCCTTGGAAACCTTCTTGAAGGCGTTTTCAGAGCCAGGAGCTTTGTTCTTATCGGGATGAACCTTGAGCGAGAGTTTCCTATAAGCCTTTCGAATCTCTTCGACGGAGGAGTTTTTCTCTAATCCAAGAATAGCGTAGTAATCGCTCTTCGATTTGATTTCCCTAATCAGGTTAACGTTCTCTTCGGTGTAATTATTCCTGACCTCGCGCGGCGGGGAGGGCGCGTCGGCCGGCGCGGCGGCGGCGGCGGCGGAGGAGGAGCGGGAGTCGAGGCGGTGACACGTGTCGAGGAGCGATTGGAGGGGCAAATCGCGGTTGAGGCGGCGCGCGATTGTGAGGAATTTGAGGGCGCGTTCTTTGTTCCCCGAAGCGATGGCTTCCTGGGCGATGCGGACGCAGCGCAATGCTTCGTCCTTGTTGCCTTCCATGGTTGGCTAGGTGGAGCAGTGGCGCATGGCGGAATTGGGAACCTAATTGGGATTAGGGATTTGAGAGAGTGGTGTGAGCAATAAATAGGATTGGGGAGTGGAGGGAGACGTGTGTTGTTACAGAGTTAGAGCGAGCGAAGAGTGTTCTTCTCTGGCACTAGCACTTTCAATTTCACTCATTAATCATTATTGTATAATTGTAACATATCCTTCCTTGCTGCTTCACTTTTGTCTACCTACTACCTATTGGACTCAATTTGGGATGGTGGTGAATCCTGAATGGTAGTGCTTTCACAATTACTACTAGCTTCTTCATATATATATATATATATATTTTTTTTTTTTGGTGGTTTTTCATCATTTGTTGTGTTATATTTTTAGTAAATTTATGAATTTTTCAGCTGTTCATCATCATTTATCAAGCAAGTAATGTGTTTTTTTTGTTTTTTTATTTATTAAAAGTCAATGCAGATAGATAAAATGAGTATTTTTTTTAACGTAATTTATTTCATATTTAATATCATGAATTAAATTATAAATAATTTAATTAAAAGATATAAACCGTTATCATTTATATTAATTATTGTTGATAATAAATAACGTGATTATTAACTACTAACTATTAATGTATATTAATGTAAAATATTATGTTTTAATGACAAAAATTATTGAAAGTGACCAATGCTAATAATAATGGATGATTGAGATTCAAATTGATTGAAAGTTATTAACAAATTAATAAAATAAAAGTAAATTTACATATAATTATTATGTAAAAAAATACTCATGATACTAAGGGGGTGTATTGGATTAGGATTTTAAAGGACTTTTTTAGTGAAAAAAAATCATGCGGATTTTAAAAGACTTTGCAGGATTTTCATGACTTTTAAGATTTTGCAGGATTTTACAAGATTTAAAATCAGGATTTTAATGGATTCTACAAGACTTTTAAATCAGGATTTTAATGGATTCTGTGGGATTTTGTAGAGTTTTGACATTTGATAAGATTTAAAAAAAAATTCATACATTCAAATTTAAAAAGAGTCAAAGATAAAAATAATAAAAAAAACAATAATGTCTAGATAAATAATAATAATAATTCTCCATAATATTCTATCATCTTTTTATAGCATCCACTATCAATTGTAACAATTCATCAGAATCCTCCTTGGTTCAGGTTTCATAGTTTTCTTTCTCTTTTCCTTTTTCTTTATTATTTCCATGTGAATCTTCCATTTGAATTACTAAAATAATAAATGTTGAAAACTAGTTATATAAATAATTATGGATAAGAGACAAAATCAATAAAATTATATTATTATTTTTAGAAGCACACCAATTATACAAGATCGAATATATCTTGGCTATCCAAATGGATCAAATATCTCAACCATTATAAAAAAAATGTAAAAACGAAAATATAGAAACAAAAGATAATTTTTTATATAAAAAAAATCAGTATATTCGATACTGAGAAAATATTTAGATATATAATCTTTTTATATAAACGGAAGTATTTAGATATAGAGAATATATATATATATATAT